CTTCTGCCCTCATATGAAAGCTCAAAGACCCAGGGAGTTGATCCTGGCGACGATTCACACAATCTCACCATTTTGGGGGCCAAACAATCTCCTTTTTCAAAAGATTCTGTGGAAGGGGGCACTTTTAATGCTAATGAGCTGGTCAGAAATTCTCACTTGAATTGGTGGTCTGCAGCCCTAGCCCGGCCCTATGGATATTCAACAGCGTCCTCTTGAGGTATGATACTTCCATTTCTTCGATCGGATCCCACAGACTAGGGCCGTTTTCCAATACTCAACGTCGGCTCCGTTTCAGATTCGTCCCAGAAACCAATCTCCAATTGTGGGCCTGAAGCGTTTAAATCAAATTGGATTATTGTAAGTTTTTGCTCTCTTGCATCTTATTTGATACTTTATGGTATTATTAGACTAATTAATGCGCTTACAGCTTCAAAGTCAGGTATTTAAAAACAGTTGAAGCCTGAGACGCAGCCGAAATTGAATATTGGAAAACGGCCCATACATGTGTTTAATATAATCGTCGGATCCCCATCTTTGCCCATTTTGCAGTGGAGAAGTACATGTAGGCCTGCATCCACGGTGTGTACATACATGTACATGTACGTACATGTACATACTGTGTACCTGCTGTACCGTTGAGATGGACAGAAACAAACAACTAGGAAAGAAGATATCAGGAAGGAGAGGTACATGTATGATTATATCTTTAGTTTCGTGATATGCGTTTTTTTGAGTTGAAACTGTAAAGGGTTTCTCATAGGCTTACACGGCATTAGCCCAGGTTAGACGTTGTCTCCATTTCATTACGACTGACGTCCAGGGTATAGAAGTTGTGTATAAAACGACCACAGATTTGGTTCTAATTTGTTCTTGGTTTACCTTGTTGAAGAAACTAATTTTTCATGTTTACAAGTTCTTCATGGCCTTATCTGTCCGTCAGGTGAGTTTAGGAATTTCAGAACGAACCATGGACTGCAAAAATTAAAAATAGGTGAGAGACAATGTTACTTTTGTAGACATAATTCATCCATATCTATCCGTCCGGTGGGTTTAGGCATTTCAGAACGAACCATGGACTGCAAAATCGAGGAAAATAAGTGAAAGACAACTTTACTTTTTTAGACGTAATTCATCCGTTCTCGAGTCTAGTGCATGCAGGTACAGTTCAGGAATCCGAGCTTCGTGCACGCACAACGTGTGCGCAATTTCCAGCAAAGGTCTGTTGCTCGCCTGCTACACAGAGGCCGTGACTGGTACCCGGCTTTAACCCGTCCGCCGTCGAGCTGATATAAAAAATGCAGTTCTGTTTTTGTCGGATCGGGGGCTTCAGACTGAATAATTAACCCCTAAAATGTTCATATTTTGTTCTTCTTTAAATTTCAGTTTATAAACATAAATTTGCTACACAAACTGCTATTTTATAACATGTATAAGAATAACCTCAGTTAGCGTAGAAGGCTTTGTACACATGCGGGGNTGGGCACTTAGGACCATTTTTCAGTTGTAGTTTTTATCCATTCTGCTCTCATAGGATAGCTTAAAGACCCAGGCAGTTGATCCTGGCAACGATTCACACAATCTCACCATTTTGGGGGCCAAACAATCTCCTTTTTCAAAAGATTCTGTGGAAGGGGGCACTTTTAATGCTAATGAGCTGGTCAGAAATTCTCACTTGAATTGGTGGTCTGCAGCCCTAGCCCGGCCCCATGGATATTCAACAGCGCCCTCTTGAGGTATGATACTTCCATTTCTTCGATCGGATCCGATCCCACAGACTAGGGCCGTTTTCCAATACTCAACTTCGGCTCCGTTTCAGATTCGTCCCAGAAACCAATCTCCAATTGTGGGCCTGAAGCGTTTAAATCAAATTGGATTATTGTAAGTTTTTGCTCTTTTGCATCTTATTTGATACTTTATGGCATTATCAGACTAATTGATGCGCTTACAGCTTCAAAGTCAGGTATTTAAAAACAGTTGAAGCCTGAGACGCAGCCGAAATTGAATATTGGAAAACGGCCCATACATGTGTTTAATATAATCGTCGGATCCCCATCTTTGCCCATTTTGCAGTGGAGAAGTACATGTACATGTACATGTAGGCCTGCATCCACGGTGTGTACATACATACATGTACATGTACGTACATGTACATACTGTTTACCTGCTGTACCGTTGAGATGGACAGAAACAAACAACTAGGAAAGAAGATATCAGGAAGGAGAGGTATGATTATATCTTTAGTTTCGTGATATGCGTTTTTTTGAGTTGAAACTGTAAAGGGTTTCTCATAGGCTTACACGGCATTAGCCCAGGTTAGACGTTGTCTCCATTTCATTACGGCTGGCGTCCAGGGTATAGAAGTTGTGTATAAAACGACCACAGATTTGGTTCTAATTTGTTCTTGGTTTACCTTGTTGAAGAAACTAATTTTTCATGTTTACAAGTTCTTCATGGCCTTATCTGTCCGTCAGGTGAGTTTAGGAATTTCAGAACGAACCATGGACTGCAAAAATTAAAAATATGTGAGAGACAATGTTACTTTTGTAGACGTACATGTAATTCATCCATATCTATCCGTCCGGTGGGTTTAGGCATTTCAGAACGAACCATGGACTGCAAAATCGAGGAAAATAAGTGAAAGACAACTTTACGTTTTTAGACGTAATTCATCCGTTCTCGAGTCTAGTGCATGCACGTACAGTACAGGAATCCGAGCTTCGTGCACATTTCCAGCAAAGGTCTGTTGCTCGCCTGCTACACAGAGGCTGTGACTGGTACCCGGCTTTAACCCGTCCGCCGTCGAGCTGATATAAAAAATGCAGTTCTGTTTTTGTCGGATCAGGGGCTTCAGACTGAATAATTAACCCCTAAAATGTTCATATTTTGTTCTTCTTTAAATTTCAGTTTATAAACATAAATTTGCTACACAAACTGCTATTTTATAACATGTATAAGAATAACCTCAGTTAGCGTAGAAGGCTTTGTACACATGCCGGG